TGACAGTGTTAATTTCGTGAGAGGATTTTATTTTATTTTTGATTCCACACTGTATTTCTGGTACAAGTATGGAATTTTCAGCATGGATATCGGTAGGCCAAATTTCGCAGGCCGACCATAGATATCAGGTGTGGGTCGGCAGGGGACTGAACCTCGAACCATGTGCATGGCCAGCGAGAGTCCTAACCAATGTGCCGCCGACACCTGACTTTCAGGTCAAATACATAGGTCAAAGTAGTAGAACAGGTGCAGTCGGACTAACCGAGCAGCATAAAAACCTAGCAAATCTAGATCGGTTGACCCGAATAAGATAAGAAATCTAGAAAATAGTTCAGCTATAACACTCAATACATGCAATTACACACAACCATACAATAAGATGACAGTTTTAAAATCTAATGGTAAAGCAGGGTGGAGAGAGAGATTGATAACGGAAGCTTTGTTTATAGAATCAACTGTGAGCACGTGTGATAGGAATGATTCAACACCTGTCCAGTTGGAAAATTCTACTACCCCTACGACGAAAAACAGGAGTTTTGGTTTGACCAACACTGGCTCATTTCCAACATGATCCTATATCATTCAGCTAACATTGCCCGCGAAGATTAAGTTCTTTCTTAACACGTCATTCCTGTTCAAACGATTTGGAAGTGTTTCTGTGATGACATATTCATTATCATTTTTAAATTTATGACCGAAGATTTTTATGCTTTTGGTAAATTCATTTGGAATTCTTGTTGGTCGAATAGAAGCTCTCCAATATCATTTTATTTTATGTGTTCTTATCGCTTCTAGGATACCTGGAATTACAAAGGTTATAGAAAAGATAAAAATAACATATTACGAATGTTGAAACAATAGCAGAGAAAAATGTTATGGAATCTAATATATCAGGTAGGCTGAAGCTAATATAAACCTTTGATATAAAGTGATACTGTTGTCTATCCCAAATGTGATCTTAACTACTACCCGCTTAACCCCAGTTCATTAACAGGAAAACGTATTGGTACTAGATAAAACCTGCCATTAATTTAGGCTGATAATGGTAAAGGATTCTAAAAGACCTATGGTAGGTGTAATGGTCTCCTATAAATCGAACCCCGGCAACTCCACAGAAATGGCTAGAATATTAGGCAAAAGACTTTGAACATGTGTTAGAAGTTAGATAGTGACAGAAAATCACACAGTATAAAGTAATATTAAAGCTTCATTTCAGAGAATATGTGAACATACATTGTAGAAATTCTCAGAGCATTTAGTTCTAAAATATTTCCGCTTCATACAGAATCTACACGTTAAGCAATAATCTGAAGTATGTCATCTATTGTAGTGTTGCTGCATACGGGGAAAGAACCACCTCTGTACATTTTTTCTCCAGTTCCTTCGAAAATTGCATAGAGTATAGTGGGAAACTAATTAAATACGCACTCGAGGTCACGCACTAGTCGTCTGATATAACTGCACGATTAAAACAATAAGAAGTGCTGAAGAGTTTAAGCATTTTTATGGTTAGAAATTCTGGCAGCCCAATGATTTAAGCAGGCCGCCCAATATGAAACATCTTCACAATAAGCTTAACCAAACGCAGGTTTCATGAGATGAGAAACTTTATTCCCCAAGAATATAGTTCTCTAAAACGAGTAATAGTAACTTTTATCCGTTTTTATCGTTAGATTGAGCACATAGTAAAACTCCCGTCATACATTTGGTAATTTCACCACCCTAAAATTCCTATGATCTTTATATTTCATGATATTTATGTTTCTGAATCGGACATATGTGTTTAGTGTCATCATCACAAGTGGCAACAATAAAGTTTATGCCTAATGTTCTATGTAGTCTGAGTGACTTTAGTTTCAAACAATAGTCTCTTAATCATCTAGCTCTAGGAACACTTCCAACTGTTCTCTACTTCAAATTTTTTAAATACAAATCAGATTTTCCACAGTTTCAGCTGTAAATAAACCTGAATGTATGATGTGTGGAATTCAGTGCAATTTTACGTGCAGAAGATAAATACTAAAAATTAAGCACCTACTGGTTGGTCATTAGTATGGTCACACATAGTTGGTTTAAGAGATACTAAAGTTCAGTGATACTAAAAGGCTTAGGATACTGAACATATTTAATTTAAATAAAGTATAATTATATTTTAATAGTTTACACACAATGATAAGTTTTGTTATTGGTAGTATTTCGAGCAAAATTACCAATAACAAAAACTTACCATTGTGTGTAAACTATTAAAATATAATTATACTTTATTTGATCTAATCCACAATGCTCAAACTTTTTACTGATATTTAATTTAGTTTGAGTCCTCTTGCTAATGGAATAGAGTTAAGGGTCAATGAAAATAAGGGATACTCCCTGTAATGAGAAAGGAATATGTTATTCATTATTGACTTTTAAGTCTAAGAAAATACCTTCTTTCGTATCTTCGACTGGACTTCTCTAAATCTGTCTAATTCATAGTTTTAAAGTCGAATTTCGGAAAGGCGATTCAAGAAGCCTTGAAAACTTACTTTTGATAAACTGTCAATGACAAGTTATTGCATCGCACAAATAAAATGTTTCTATAATTAATTACATTCTATGGAAGATTATTGCAGTTTGGATTCAAGGATTTCTGCATAACTTGCTTTTAGACATATAAACAGTTAGAGTAATTATGCTGGCTATCACCGCATATGCTTGATTGATTTACGCTGCTATCTGATTGTCTACTACTGCTGACGATGTTTTGTGTTCTTGCACCTATGTATGATTTTGCTTGAGATGGTCTAGTCTTCATTTCACTAATGAATATACACGTCATAATAACAGTAGGTTTATTGTGAAAAGTAGATTTAAACGCATTATAGAGTTTTCACAGCGGGTTTGATAGTAAAGTATTTACTCCGTGTGGAGAGTCTTCAAATAATAATAATAACCGATGGTCTGTCACATGAAGAAATCTCCTTTTATCCGAAGTGGGTTCCATTACTACTCCACAATGTCGTTCCTCCGTTACCTCCGAAAAAATCCTAGTGATAGGTAGAAACTCATTTGGAATCGTGCGCCAGTACAGGTTGCAACCCATTGTGATAATTAAGATGCTTAAAACTACGGGAGACGAACTAAACATAACATATTTTGATAGACAAAAGATTTCGATAGCCCAGTAGTTTAAACAGACCGCCTTTTCGTGGTGGTGGAGATGGTTGGTGTGAACAACTCAGCTGAATAAAATTAGACTTAACTTACGTATTATTCCAACTGTGAGTTATACTCATCTTCAATTATTTGAATCACATAACCTAACGTTTTATGACAGTAGAAAAAGAAGCTATTATCTTCTAGTCAACTGGATGCATGGGTTAGAAACTTTCCAGCAATATTTCATAGATATTAATCAATTAATTATTCATTCATTTAGGAAGAAGAAAATGATAACCATAATCTCCATTAAAAGTAAAGTACAGTCTGGTGGTCAATGTCCTACTGTTCAGTCACTTAAGTGCAGTTGTTATTTTTACAATCAGAAAAGCCACAGTTCAATTTTAGTAATTCATTCAGCTTGTAATTTGGTCGCTATAATCACTGCTATTGTAACTATGACGTTTTTTGTGTAGCTTACAAGTTTTTGCATAAGCCGCATAATACTATGTTTTCGCCAAACAGATTAACTAGGAAGGTACAAATGATGTTTACAACACTCCCAAACTCAACAGTTCTTAATTTATTTCCGCTATCGACATTCATTTATTTTAGTTTAAAGGAAGGTATGTTTTGAAAACTTCTATAGTAATTTTTCAACAGAGCAACTGCATTCGCTTGATTTTTGCATGCTTTATACGTTCATGTGTTCAGGAAATAGATACCACTAACTGCAGCTACTAGTCTGACGACTAGTTATTCATATATCCTAGTGGATCTGGCTACTGGTTTTTTAATTATTCACATATAAAGCAATAGTACCGTTATCTGGTTCTTTGCTGATTCTTCTCTGTCTTTTAGTGTCACCTCACTTCATAGGGTCTACTGTACACTTAAAATCTATAATAAAATTGCAAACGTTTGTCTACACTAGCTTGTCAGCTTTACTCCTTGTTTCTGGTATATATATCCATTTATTTGACTTACATAGAATAACTATTAGTCTTCCTCACTCGCTTCACGACAGTCGTTCAATTTTATTGTTATCGTGTCTCCTGTATTTCCACCAATAGCTTCCAACGAAAGTAAGAGAAATGTGCAACATCTTTGTCACATTGACATTTTATTGTTTAAATTTGCAGGCAGCCGAAGGAAATACGCCTTCGTGTAATTGTCTTGGCTTCTCACTATCTTACATCTTCATGATGTAGAGAAATAATTTGTTTTAGATCGTGGTGTAAACTCTGGCTGCTGAATGATTTGACTTTGAAGTAAGACACCAAAACAAGTGATAAATTATTTTCTATCAGGATCGCTGCTTAAACTGTTACAGTATATATATATATATATATATATATATATATATGCGTAGGTGGTTCAGGGGTAGAATGTTCGCAGACCAGGCATATCGTCCAGGGTTCCACCTCCATTACAAGACTGAAAAAGCGTGAAGGTTGGGCATGAGGCTAGCAACCCCACCCAGTCACTGTAAATACTGCTACTGCTCAATAAGCTTGAAGCCCTATGCTCCATTGGGAACATAAAGGAATAATGCATGTATATTATATATATATACTCTTTTCTCATACATCCTTCAAACTAATTAAAAGTTATGCTGTATAAGTTGAAGCTCTATTATTCTGACTTACCTACGACTTATTGAAACACAACTAGTTGTCATGTGTAATTTCTACCACTTACAATTTTTTTTTTGAAATTACTGACTAATCGTCCTTCTGAATACTAAATATTTCATTTACTTTTCTGCGAATTAAAAAGAACAGGTTTGGTTTCCTGCTGATACATTAAGAGACAGATAGCGGTAAAAAGAGTAAAGTCGTACTTAAAACAACAAGGGAATTTCTGGAAACATGTATATATTCGTTACACTGCTAACATAACAATTACAAAAATATCGTTCATGAATATATTTTTCCACAAAGTGAATCACATAATTCCAAGCAAAAAATGAGGTTGAACTAAATGAAAGAGGACAACATATTAAGAATACACCGCTTAATGATTATACAAACAGTTGTACGATGGATTCGTGAAATATTTAACGGAGTTTATTTTTGTATTTTTGAGACATGACTGGACAGAATGTCATAAGGCTTTGTGTTTTACACATAATTTCGATACAAATCCATGGTGTGTCATAGTTTCTTTTAAGTTTCTATTTCCAAATGCATGCGGTATGTTTAAAACGCCATTAAGAAATTACGCAGTCCATATGAACTATATCGGGTTTAGACTTATTCGTCTTTCCACTTGACCTTCGACTAAGACGAAAACTATTACGAAAGATTGTTTGACGTGACTTCGTAGTTGCAGACTTTTGTTCGTTGACATTTGCATCAGGTAACTCACTACTGTTGTGACTGTAAACATGTATATTACCAGGACTAGCCGAACTAGTGTTTATAACAGTACCACTAAGTGCAGAAAAATCTGTCTCCTTCTGTGTGAATGCTGATGTACTACTGGTTACATTGGTGTTACTACTCGTAATACTAGAATGAGGTAATGCAGTCTGTTGACTGTTAGTTAGACTGGCTCGTCTGACACCATCCCATCTTGCTAGTTTTATCGCTTTACTAACAGTATTCTGTAACCAAAGGGATTCGAAGATTGCGATAATGGAATCATTGGATTTAGCGCTGGCATAAACGAATTGCGATGGCTTTAGACCATTTGTTAATAACCACTCCATAATAGCGCCCTCACTAACTTGTGAATCTGAGTTTGGTAAATCGGATTTATTACAGACGACAACAATTGGCGGTGATGCCACGTTCATATTAAATATACAATCGTCATATTGATCGTTTAATGTATTTGAAACAAGCGGTGCATAATCTTTGCGTTGTGATTTAATTTGGGTTAATAACTGTCCAGCTTGTACTAAAGAATCAAGATTGTCGTGAGCAAATACTATAACAAAAGCATTTGCTTTATTTATACAAAGACGTAACATCGCAGGAAAATCATAACTACCAGCTGTATCCATTAGTACTAGTTTGACTAAATGGTCACGTACAATAAATTTCTTGAGGTGGATATCTTCAACTGTTGGAGTATACTTGGACTCAAAATGGTTATGAAGAAACCGTTGGATTATAGATGTTTTACCAACTTTAGCTGAACCTAAAAACACTATTCTAACTTCTTCGTCTGTTGTTGTCAAGGAGGAGGATGACGTAGATGTACTTTGTGGTGTTGTTGGCGAATTGTTTACAGAGTCATTCTCTTGTTGTATTGTTTGAGACATTTTTGTTTGAATCTGTGGAGGCTTCGTATGACGTGATACAGATGGATTCATTTTTCAATATACCTTTCTTTTCATTTATTGATATCCTGGAAAAGCAAAATATTTTCTTATTTTGGCATTTATTGTCAACAGGAAGTAATTAAAGCAGAATATAAACAAGTAAGTCATCAAAGCGACCATGAAAATTATTTACTAAAATACTGTCAAAACTTTAGGGAGGTGTTTCTTCCTCTGGTATATACGGGAATGATTCATATTTTCGCCCAGTTTTTGCAAATTTTAATGTCAGTTAATAAATATATAATCAAAACTATAATCACAAATTTAATCTTTCAGAGTACAATACATTGAGGATTTAAATAATATTTTTGGTGTCTAAATAGGTCAGTCAGAGTAGAAGCGTATGCTGGATACTATGGTATTCTGGACAGAAAGACCACACCCACATAAAACATAAAGTGAAGCGTTTTACAAAATATACTGTAATGGTGTTGCTCTCACTTAACTGTACTACACTGATACTGGCTTTAGATTTCTTAAAAGTACAGTATCATGGTCCCATGAAAATTGAATATATGCCTTGCGATAAAATAGTTGTTAGGGTGCTTGTTGGATAACATACTTTTCCATGAATAAAATGATGATATCATTCAGATTATTTTGTCTGTATGTATTCAATGAGAGTTTGATATTTCAAATTTCTTAGTGTCCTCCTAAATGGCGATTTCTCCTCAATAGAAACTTATTCTAAGTAACTGTTTTCACAAATAGTAGTAAAAAGGCAAACCACAAAAACAGTGTGACATGATCCCAGAGAAGACAATGACTCATTAGTTGGCCTCTCTTTAATTTCGAAATATACTTTAATGGTCACTGTATAATAAGATTATTGTACTCATTACAGAATCAGTTACTTCTGGTTTAATAATGCTCAAAAAAGTTTGGAAGTCTCTACAATATATTTTATTTTCGTCTGGAGTATCTTAGATACTACTTAAACGTAATCTAGTGTAAATTGCGATTGTTTAACTGTTCAGTGCCGTCCTTTTTTATTTAGAAAACATATTTTAACGAAAAAATATTATGTGAGGCAACTTTATCCACAAAACTGATTCTTTGTGCCTCCTAATAACTGAACATCCTAGGCACAGGATATTTTCTCCTATGCGTTAGAATAACTGTGTACTTTGCAAGCATACAATATACTCAACGGTCGCGATTAGGCTCCACTTATCAGCAATACTTACTCTTCTACTCTTTCAAAGTTTAAGTTTGTAAAAAACTAACATACTTGATTGTTTTGCAAGCGTCGTAGTGTTCTAGTGTTTTTTTTTTTGACTTTTCTTGATTATCAGAAACTTGATTTTGTTATTCTTAGGACACATAAAAATGTTATGCTAGACGAGATTAAACCAGTTTGATTTGAAAATAAATTTTATTCTAATTAAAATTAATGGTAACACTAAAGAAGAAGAAAAAAACACTATTGAAAAACACAAATCTTAGCTTTCCAGCCGTTCACTATCAAAATATTCAAACAAAGAAATCCACTCAGCCTTATCTTTACGTGGTCAACTTATATTTCGTCTCGATTTTCATTGTGGTTGGGAAATACACGCTTGTAATAACGTTTCTTATCGTGTTAACAAACAATTACCAATATAACCTAATAAAAGTTAACTGAAAACATTGAAATTTTGATACTAACACACCTTTTTTTATTTCCTTCACGTTCCCAGCGGAACATAGGGCCTCAAGCTAGTGGCTTGAAGTTTCTGTAGCAGTGTTTAATTTTACAAGATTAGGTTGCTAGCCTCATGCCCAACCTTTCCTCTTTACCAGTTTTATTACTGGTTTAGCGAGGTAAAGGTGTGCGTCGGCCTGGGATCGAACTCCGGACCATGTGCGTGGTCGGCGAGTGTCCTGACCGCTGTGCCACCGACGCATATTAACACATCTAGTACCTGTTAAGATAACAATAGCCATCAATGGCCAAATAGTCCAAACATCAAAAGCCATAACAGTTGGATTGAAACCGTCAGAATTGTGTAAAGTGAAGAAACAAGTTCAGTCACTGTTTTTACCCGAAGCCTGTTATTGTAATCTACAAACTCTTGGCCTGAGATCTTTTAGATATACGTATTTTTCCTCATCATTGTCTCAAATCAAATTTACTTTTTTTAGCGTGAATACACCTTTAAATGTTAAAATTTGTCTTTTTCCATTGGTGTTATTCTGATTGTTTTATCTCTTTTTATTCGATTTTAAGGGGAGTAACCCAAAAGGTCGCTTCTCTCTAAACTTTATCTTAATGTAACCATTCATTTCTCAGGCGTAAGGCTAGCAACCCCACCCTGTAAACAAAATTGCTACAGAAACTTCAGCACAATGAACCTCTTTGCACCAAAAGAAAAAGTCTGTGTGGGGACATGGAACGTCCGAACTATGTACGAGACAGGGAAAGCTGCCCAGATCGCCAACGAGATGAAAAGATACGGAATACAAGTGCTGGGAATATGTGAAAGCAGATGGAATGGGAGTGGACTCACCAAATTGTCAACGGGTGAGTCAGTGATCTACTCCGGTCACCCAGAAGATAACCACACGCACACCGAGGGCGTGGCTATCATGATGTCACCAACGGCAACGAAAGCCCTGATACAATGGGAGGCGATTTCGTCCAGGATAATGACCGCCAGATTCAACTCCAAAGGAAGGAAAGTGTCAATCATACAATGTTATGCACCCACAAACAACGCAGACCTCGAAAAGAAAGAAGAATTCTACAGGCAACTACAGGCAACAATGGACAATACTCCAGCTGGCGACATGAAAATACTAATGGGAGACATGAACGCCAAACTGGGACCAGACAACACAGGAAGGGAACTCATCATGGGTAGAGAAGCTCTAGGAGAAATGAATGAAAACGGAGAACTCTTCGCCGACTTCTGCGCCTTCAACGAACTAGTGATTGGTGGCAGTGTATACAAGCACAAAGATATCCACAAGGCTACATGGGTGTCACCAGACGGGCAAACCAAAAACCAAATCGACTTCATCTCAATCTCAAGGAAGTGGAGGCGCAGCCTACTGGACACAAAAGCAAGAAGAGGAGCAGACGTTGGCTCAGACCACTATCTCGTACAAGGGACAATCCAAATCAAATTAAAAGCTTTCAGGGAATCAGGAGCTGCAGATAGACCACAAGCCAAGTTCAACACTCAAAAGCTGAAGGACCAGGCTACAAAGGACATCTTCATTGCAAGCATAAAGGACAAAGCCGAGACACAAATCAACACCAGCGAAAAGGTCAGCGTCGAAAAGCACTGGAACAACTTGAAAACGGTGTGGAGCCAAACCTGCATAGAAATTCTAGGCAGAAAAAAGAGACAGGACAAACAGTGGCTCACTACGGACACTTGGAAACTAATAGAAGAGAGAAGGACAGTGAAGCAAAAGATTATCCAGTGCACTGACGAGCAACAAAAACAGGAGCTGAATGCAAGCTACAATACACTGAACAAAAGAGTGAAGAAGAGTGCCAGGGAAGACAAAAGAAAATATTATGAAACCATGGCAAACGAAGCAGAACAAGCTGCAGGCAAAGGAGACCTCGCCACACTCTACCAAACAACTAGGAACCTTTCGGGCAAACGTTCGACACAGATTAAGCCAATAAAGGACGACAATGGAAAGTCAATCACCAAAGAGGTGGAACAGAGAAAGCACTGGGCTTCAAAAGACTTCTAAATCGTCCGCCACCTACAACGCGTCCAGCAATACCAACAACGGAAGCAGAACTACCAGTGAACACTGACCCCCCCCCGACGAAATCAGAAGTCCTGAATGCAATCAAGATGCTAAAAGCTGGGAAAACACCGGGACCAGATGGAATCCCAGCAGAAGCTTTGAAAATAGACCCAGAGACAACAGCGGACTTGATGACACCACTGCTGGAGAAGGTGTGGAAAGAGGGCAAAGTACCCGAGGATTGGAAGAAAGGATACTTATTCAAACTTCCAAAGAAAGGAGACTTAAGTCAATGTAAAAACTGGCGTGGAATTATGCTTCTGTCCATTCCAAGCAAGATACTAAGTCGCATCATCCTGGAGAGAATCAAACAAGCCCTAGATGAAAAACTTCGTCCGGAACAGGCTGGATTCAGGAGAAACAAATCATGTATTGATCAAATCGCCACTCTACGGATCATCATTGAACAAAGCTTGGAATGGCAGTCACCTCTCTATCTCAACTTCATCGACTTTGAAAAGGCCTTCGACAGCGTCGATCGAGAGGTCATTTGGAAACTACTTCGCTACTACGGGGTCCCATCGACAATTATACATCTCATCCAACAGTTATACGACAATGCTGCATGCCAAGTAATCCACAACGGGAAACTTACGGAAGCCTTCGAAGTGAGGACGGGAGTGAGGCAAGGCTGTCTACTATCACCAATGATCTTCCTGATTGCAATTGATTGGATAATGCGACAGACAACGGCCAACGAGGGAACAGGCATAAAATGGACTGACACAAAAGACTTGGAGGATCTGGATTTCGCCGATGATATATGTCTGATTTCCCATAAACTGGAAGATATGCAAGTGAAAAGTAACAAGTTGGCAGAAGAAGCATCAAAGATAGGACTTCACGTGAACATAGATAAAACAGAGATGATGAAGATTCCTGGCCAACACCAACAGCAACACAACAACAGACAACAATCAGCATAAATGGGAAGAACCTGAAAGAAACAACCTCCTTCACCTACCTGGGAAGCATCGTCTCAACTACAGGCGGAACTGACGAGGACATCAAAGCCAGAATCGGAAAAGCAAGACAAGCTTTCATTACTCTCAAATCTGTGTGGAGGTCAACAGCACTCAGCATCAAAAATAAGATCCGGATTTTCAACTCCAATGTGAAGTCAGTGCTACTATACGGATCAGAGACTTGGCGAGTCATAAAGAGCATCTCAAACAAACTTCAAACCTTCATTAACAGCTGTCTCCGCTCAATACTCAAGATCAGATGGCCAGAAAAGATCAGCAACAGGGATCTCTGGGAGCGAACCAATCAGGA